TAATCATCGAGTGTACAAGCGATGACGTCTAAGTCTTCAGGTCAGTCAAAAATAGGGTGTCTACAGATAGCTTTTAAATGAATTCCTAGAGCTGCAAATCAACTTACACATTAGCTAGCTTCTTGTAACTGAAGGGCAAGCTTCCCCTTGATTGGGTGGGAATTCCTCCTTCTAAGCTTAAGGCTCTTCTTCTGTTAAACTCTCTTTTGTAAGCCTTATGGCATTTCTTTGTCCAAAAAAAAAAAAAAACCCTCAACCCTTGCACTCTTAATTTTTTTTTTTTAAATTTTTTTTATTGTAAATTTCAAGTGAGGTGTGGACAGGACAATAAATTTTATTGAAGTAAATAAGAATTTTTTAGAAATTAGAAATGTCAAGTATTGTAGCCACCTAAAAAATAATATTGGGTGCCTCTATTTGCACCCCAAACATTAGGTTGAGCACCCCAATTTAGGGAAATTCTATTTCCATACACCTACTTACCTCAGTGCACACACTTAATGAAATTTTATTTTAATGATAATTATATCCTAAAGTAAAATGACTATAATAGATATCAAAATATACCTTTAATATTATATTCTAATTTTCTCTATACACGTCTTTTTAAAATTAAAAAAAAAAACTCAATGCACATTTTTTTTTTTTTTTTTTTTATAAAAAAAATCCTAATTTAAAATGTACAAGACAACTAGCCTTGTTGTTGTGTTAAGAATCAGAAATTATAAAGCTAAAACCCAAATTGTTTTCTTTTTATCACATCAAAAATCTCTTCCAAATCTCTTTCTTGTTATTCTTCACCTACTCTGTGACAGTGTTTCAAATGTTAATGAAAGTTTTGTTCTTGTTAAAAAAAGAAAAACAGTTAATTGAAACAGAGTTGTACATGTTTTCCGGGGTTTATTATCATTGCGATTCAATTTTTAGTGATGATTTGTTAGTAGAATGGTTTGTTGAGGTGATTAGTGTAATTGAGTGCCTTTGTGTTTGTATTGTGTTTGTATTGATTTTGTGATGCTCTGTGAAAGTGTTTCAAATGTTAATGAAGTTTTGTTCTTGTACAACTAGTAATCTTTGATTTCATAGAGAGAAAAACAAAGATATATCTCAATATATACATACATATCCACACAGAAATTCTGAACAATGTATGACGAAGACTATCATAATGGAGTTGTCACAACTTGTAATCTTGTTCTTCTTTGAACAATGGGATGAAGATTCTAAACAATGCAATCGGATGAATACATATTCACAACTAGTAATCTTGTTCTTCTTTAATTACTATCAAAAATTTATGAAGGACCCTTATGGTGTTCTAAACAATTGGGATGAAGACTCTGTAGACCCATGTAGTTGAGTTATGATAACACATAAAAAGATTTCAAAATAGATGGGAGATCCTCACCGTCAAGAATGCAATGGAGAGTTGTCAATGGAGTTGTCAAATTTAGGGTCTTGGAGATGTCAATAGGTCTTTAATGGAGGTCAATGGGTCTTCATTGTTTTTTCAACGGGCCATTTTCATATATCAAGTGTGTAGAAGAGCGCTTTCAACCGAATGGGCAAAGGTGTGTGGGAGGAGGGTTTAGGTGGTGTGTGTACAGGTATATGAGTTAGGGTATAATTGGAACATACAATGTGTGGAATGAGAAGAATAATTAATAATCAAATTAATATGTGTGTGCATTGAAAAATGATGTGCACTGAGGTAAGTAGGTATGTGGAAATAGAATTTCTCCCCAACTTAATGAAACTTTTTTTTTTTTTAATACTATTATGTCCCTATTTAAAATGATCAAAAAGTATTTGATATTGAAAAAGTGCAAATCAAAATGTTGTGGACACTCCATTCATAATCAATCTCAATATTTCCTTTTCTCTTATCTTTTTACTCTTTTCACTTTGCATTTTCACACTCAATCATATTTTGCTCGAATCTATCATTCTTATATTCTATTTTAAATTGAAGTTAACAATGGACAATGGAAATGACATTTTCAAGTAGTTTTTTTATTTTTTATTTTTTTATTATTATTATAGAGAAGGTAGGTTTTCTATTTATGTTCATCATTTTCTACTGCTGGGTTTATGGAATTTGTAAATTCAGTAGCAAACTAATTATATTCATTTGAAAACTTGTTTCTAAGCAGGAACTAATTTTTTATTGTTGGAAACTGAGTATCCGAACATATTTCATTTGTTTGACACTGAGTATTTGGATGAAAAAGCTGGAACCAATTTTTTGTTATTTGAAACTGAGTATCCGAACATATTTTATTTGTTCGGAACTGAGTATTTGAACATATTTAATATTTTTAGAATTAAGTATCCAGACGTATTTAATTTGTTCAACACTGTGTATCCGAATGGCGACAACGAGAGTTTGGTAATGACGGGATAATGGGATGTATAAAGTATATTTCCAGAGTTTTTAGGGGCATAATAAAGTATTATTTAAGGTGTCTAAAAAAATAAATAAAAATTTAAATTGTAGATTGGAGTGTTCAATCTAATTTTTGGGATACATTTAGAGCCACCAATGATATTTGGTTGGAGATACTCTTCGGCCTCTTCATATTATATTTTCCTTATTTATCTAACAACAAAAAATAATTAAATATTTTTATTAAATTTTAATTAAATATAATATAATAATATCTGGTCCTTTTATCTTAAGAGTAATGATAGAGAAATAGAGCTTTATATAGAATTTTAATACCAAATAATATATAATTGCTTTTGGTTCTTTTATTTTCAATCAAAATATAATTTATCATTTTTGTTATAATTTCAAAAATGCCATTAACTGTTTATTATAAATATTTTTTTCTATATAAAATGCTTTTTTTTTGTAAATAATTTTCTTTTATATAATTTTTTATCTTATCTATTTATCTCATGGTATAGTTTATGATGAGAATTCTCTCAAATTCAAAATATGAACTTGACCGTTAAATTAGGGCTCACATAGTCTATAACGAGTCTTATTTCGATAATTCAAATTGTTCATTTTGTAAGATTTTCTATCTATATCATTCTTAGCAAAAAATAGGTTGCTTCGAAAATCATAACATTTATATTTAACGCATTTTATATTCAAAAATATAGATAGTTTATTTTCAAAAACATACTTATCATTAATTTTTTTGAAGACAAATAAAATAAAATAAAAATCTTTAGATTATCGAATAAAATGAACGATAATAGTACCATCTATTTCTATCAGATTCGTATAATCAATCCCATGGTGTAAGGACTTTTTTAATCTCTGCTCTTACGAGGACACATCTTAATAAATTTAAAATAATTATAAATTCTGAATAAAATAATTTATAATAAAGCATATATAATTTTTTTAAAAGTTTTTTTTTTTTTTTTAACTTGTACAATATTTTATGTAACTAGGTTTTTGAAATTAAAACTAAAAAAATACACAGCAAACCTTTGTATAAATTGTTGAACATGTAAATGAATAGTAAGCGGGGAAGGCTCCTCTTCACATTTGTACATACTTTATTTATGGGCTTCATTTTGGATTCACAACGATAATTAGAACTAATCATCTCGAAGTCCAATAGTAAAGATGTGTGATGTAAAAAATTAGTTTCATCAGATATCACTACGTACATGAACAAATTACATTTTGTTTCATGAAATGGACTAAAAAAAATGTAATTTGTTCATTTATTTGTTGATATTTGATGAAATTGATTTTTTTATACAAACGGTCTCCGCTCTGAAATTTACGAAATAAACGGTTCAGCTCATTGTTCTAGGCACAAAGTGAGTTCCACAAAATGGAGTACTATAGAAAATCACTATGGAGAGGAAGCATTCCCAACTCGCAAAAACCTTACCACTAATTATGTCATGAAAATAGGAAAATGTTTGAGACTCTAAATTTTTTTTCACAATTTAATCTACAATGATGCGGTATGATAAGTGTCAATTTTTGATTTATTACTGTGAATGGTGAATTTGTCTCAATAGCTGATCAATGAGATGATACGCCTTATCCTAAAGTTACAAGAAAAACCCAAAGGCATAGATCACCCCCGACCCTGGGAGAATCCTCCACCGATCAAGTCAATGCTTTGACCAGACATGACTAGGAAGAGGGAATAATACTATGTAAATGTGTTTACATATGTTTGTGTGATAGCTATTGTATATCCATTGTTCGTCCCTTTACGTGTTTGTTTGATTCCTTTGTCAATTGATATATTGTTATTAGCTGTCGGATCTCTTTTGATTGGACAATCAACCTTTTGTCAAAGGTCATTTTGGTAACGGCCAACTTGCATATGTTATTGGCAGTCAGATCTCCTTTGATCAGATGGTCAAACTTTTGTCAGAAGTCACTTTGATAATTGCCACCTTGCAATTGTTGATGGTCGTTAGATTTCCTTTGATCAAACAATCAGCCTTTTGTTAGATGTTAGTTTGTGATTTGAATCTGACTGTGTTTGATATGCCCAGTCAAGTTGATTGATCTCATTGGTTTTGGGCTTTTTCCATTTGGATTTGGTCAAATCTATTTGCATTTATATTTTTTTGAGTCGAATTTTTACCTTTCACAATTGTACACTTAATATATATAACTCAATTTTCTTAAAACATCATTATAGGTGAATGTATAAAACTCAAACATTTCTCCTAAAATAATATTTTGTCACTCTCAATTTAGGTCTTAAACGATATTATGGCAATGGTACGAAATTACCAAATTATTAGAATTTCGAAGTTCTCCCTCTTGCTCTTATTTAGGACGTTTTTAAAAGATAGTAAAAAATTAATTTTTTGATTTTTTAATTTTTTTACACAAAAAAATCACAAAAAAACAACTTTTTTAACCAAAAAAAAAAAAAAGAAAAACCAAAAAACTACAAAAAAAAAAAAAAAAAAAAAAAAAAAAAAAAAATAAAAAAAAAAAAATAAATAAAAAAAATCAACTTTTTACAAAATGAGCTGTGTCATGTCTCCATTATCGTGGCTTCTCAGCCTCTCTTTTACATTCTCTCTGTATATAATCTGTCTCTCGCTCTAGGAAAGACGGCCTGATGGGTTCGGGCTGCAGCCGTCTGGCCTTGCGCCCTTCTCGGCCCCAACTCCCCGACCGCCCCCGCCCCAATCGGTCCTTCCTCTCCTCTCTCTTCATCTGCGGTGGCTCCACTTCTCACGCCCCCACCCAGGTACACACACACCTCCATCACCATCATCAATTATCACAATTCTACATTTAACGTGGAAACCTTTTCCTATCTATTTCGTTTTCTCGTTTGTTTTTCATCAATTTCTTTTGAAAATTCATTGCATTTCTATTCAACCCCACTAAAAATATCCTATATTTTGTCTGTTGTATATGTTTGTTTGTGCTTTTCTCTAATGGAATGAGATTGATCGATCGATTGCAGATAATGGGTTCAGTTCCGTTTCGGGTAAATTGGGCTTGTTGATCTTTATTTCTTTGATACATTTACATGTATTTTATCTTTTCTGAGGGATGTGTTTGTATTGGATTTCATGGTGTTTGTTGCAATGCCATGTGTAATTTTAGGTGTTGATTTTTGAAGAATGTAAAAAATTATTGAGCTGGGTGATTTGAAATAGACCCCTATTTTGGACTGTTGGTGTTGTGTTAGGTCAACCAAACCACTTGGGCTCCTTTGGAAGGCAGTTTCCTTCAGTGGATTAAGTCGGCTAAAATTCGGCTTGATTTGATAAGGATGGTGCTTAGCAATTGGTAATAGAATGATAATTCTCAAAGTAAGATGCTACAAATGTGTAAAGTTTAAATAGGTTTCTTTCTTGTTCCCTATGATGAAACAAGGCTGGGTGTGAGTGCCTTCTGATCACAATTGGAATGTTATAGGAAAATCCTACATAACATTATGAATTTACTTCTAAGCTCACTTTGTATGCTGAACAAATAGCTCCCAAACATTCATCTGCATGCATTTATGTCAACTGTTGTCTTCCAAAGAAGATTTTTTAGATGCAGGTTTTTTCTTTTGTCTTTTGGATGAAGATGACACAGCGGAATTCACATGAAATTAGATATGGTTCTAGTAGACAAAACTCTTGAATCCACAACAAAGAAACCCGACAGTTGGATAAACACAAGTCAAGGAAATCAAATTATTGACCAAGAGTGAAATGATAATTTTGAACAATTTTACTTAGCTACCAAGAATCTTATTGAAAGAATAAATTTTCCTTGATGACCAAGGATTATATTTTCCTTAGTGACTAAGGACTATCCTAACTAGTTACTTTCTTGTAATACTTGGTCTCCAAGTATACTTCATGACCAAGGCTAGTATTTAGTTTATTATTTTCTTATATTTTCCTGGGTCTCCAAGTATGTTTGGTTTCCAAGAATTTGTCTATCATAAATAGTCATGTAAGCCTAAGGGAAAATACATTCTCTATCAATGTAATTTTCAAGTTACTCTATTTTCCTTGTGGATTTAGGAGTTTTCGTCTAATAGAATGATATCTAGTTTTGTGCGTATTTCGTTGTGTCAAGTGGTATCAGAGCAATAATTTGCCTAGTTCAATGGCACAAGATGTAGAAGTACACACAAACCTTGTTGATAATGATCGTGGGATAGGTGCTTTGTGGGAAGCATTTGAGAAACAACGGTAGTTGGATGAGATTTGTGACATGATTTTGGGGTTGACTCTCAACGCTAACAATAGACCACCAGCGGTTGATTGGGCACGTGCTGAGGGAGTTGCCTAAGGTTGACCAATTAATCGGGAAATAGTTCGTGCTGGAGGAGTTGCTTGAGGCCATCTTGTCCAAAACAACTTGAGAAGTCCAGGCTGGTATCATTCTGACAGTGAAGGGTCGGAGCTAGAGGTTGAAGTGGAGTGCGGAGGTTGTCAACTAAGGAGACAACAACAATGGATCGATGACTACCGGTTGAAGATTGATATTCCTCAATTAAATGGAAATCTACATATTGAAGATTTCTTAGATGAATCTTTGAAGTAACGGTTTTTCGAGATGAAGGAGGTTTTAGAGTTAAAGCTTTTGAAACTAGTTGTAGACAAATTGAAGGGAGGTGCTGTAGTTTGGTGGAACCAATTACAAAGAACTAGATAGGAAAGGACCCAATTCGGACTTGGCGATGGATGAAGCATCTTCTCATGGACAGATTTGTACCACCGGACTACGAGCAATACTTGTTCTTGCTTCATCAAAATTGCTCACAAGGGTCCAAATCTGTGTTTGACTACATTGTTGAGTTTTCTTGACTTTCAGATCACAACAATCTGAATGAGATAGAAAGACAATGAGTAGCCAGATATCTCAATGGGCTGAAGCAAACCATTCGAGAGAAGATTGGTTTGGCAGTTTTGTGGACTGTGGAGGAAGCTCACAACATGGGTCTCAAAGCCGAGTTGTTGGAATGCGGACCAACATATTTAGGGCATCGATGGACAACTCTGGATTCTTCTTTTCCTACCTCTGAAAAGGGAAAGGGGGTCCAAACGTCGACTGCTGCAAACCAACCCAAGGGTGCTAATGGTAGAGGCAACAACTAGGCGACGAGTTCAATGGTTGGAGAAGCTTCTAAAAGTCCTAACCCTTATGTCAAAGCCAACAACAGACAAGTGCTATAGTTGTGGCAACCCTAACCACCGTTCCAATGTCTGCCCAGAGTGAAGGCCAATCAACTTAGTGGAACAAGATGGTGACTTTGGGGCTGATGAGGGTGTAGCGTATAATGATCATGATCCATGTGATGGGGCTAAGCCTACCATAGAGGATGGAGAACGAGTCAACTCTGTGGTCCAATGAGTTTTATTCATACCAAAGATGGAGGAATTTAGTTAGTGCCATAATATTTTTCGATCATGTTGTTCAATCAACCAGAAAGTATGTGATGTGATCGTTGATAGTGGAGCACTTGAAACTACAGACTGAACCACATCTTAATCCTTACAGCATTGGTTGGTTCAAGAAAGGTCCAACAGTGAAGCTAAATGAAGGTAACTGAAATTTGCCAAGTACCTATTTCCATTGGCAAGCATTATAAAGAAGATGTTATTTGTGATGTGATTGATATGGATGCTAGCCATATACTTTTGGGTAGCAATTTGATGTGGATGTCTAATTTAAAGGTTTGGACAACACCTATTTGTTTTTGTGGGGGACTCATGAAATTGCTATGGCTCCTTCACCACAACAAATAGTGTCAAAACCCCCTAAAGTAGAGGGCAATCTTTTCTCACCATCGCTAGTTCAGAAGCTGAGTTTGTGACATATTTTAAAGCTTCATATGAGATTTATGTGATGGTTGTCAAAGATCTAGTGACGGAAGGAAAGAAGAAAGCAATGGTATCGATTCCAAAGAAGTTACATCCATTGATTGAGGAATTTAAAGAGCTCATTGCTGATGAACTACCGAATGAGCTACCATTGGTGAGGGATTTCCAACATCAAATTGATTTGTGTTGGGAACTAATTTGCCAAACTTACTGCATTACATGATGAACCCAAAGGAGAATGAGATTTTGAGGGAGAAGGTTGAAGAGTTGCTGCAGAAGGGGCATGTTCTTGAAAGTTTTAGTCCATGTGCCATTCCAGCTCTTTTGATGCCGAAAAAGATGGAAGTTGTGTATGTGTGTTGATAACCGAGGTATCAACAAAATCACCATCAAGTACAAATTTCCTATTCCACCTCTAGATGATATGCTTGAAGGTTTAACCCTCGAATCTGTAAGTTTTTGAATAATTCTGTATATTCGATTGTGTCAATTTATAAAGAGTTCATCAGTTTATATAGCCCTAAATCTATGACTAAAAAAGGAAATACTAACTAATTCCTATTTACACAATCATGCCATATATACACAACATGCCATATATACAATATATTCTCACACCCCCGCTCAAACTCAAGGTGTTTTAGCAAAAAATACTGAGAGTTTGCTAAGAAAAAACTGAAACCGAGCGGTAGTGTGAGTCCTGGTGAAGAAGTCCGCAAGTTGCAAAGTCGAGGAGACAAAAGGAAGTCAGATAGAGCGAGACTGCAAATGTTGTCGGACAAAGTAACAATCAATCTCAATGTGTTTTGTGTGTTCATGGAAGACAGTATTGTGGGCAATCTGAATAGCACTACGGTTGTCACAATAGAGAGAGGTCGGAGAAGACTGAGGTACACCTAACTCAGTCAAGAGACAATGAAGCTAAACAATCTCAGCAGTGGCATGAGCCATAGCACGGTACTCAGCCTCGGCAGTGGAACGCGCAACAACAATCTATTTCTTTGCCTTCCAAGAGATCAAGGAATCACCAAGAAACATGCAGAAGCCAGAAGTGGACTTGCGATCAGTGACATCACTAGCCCAATCAGAATCAACATAATCCACCAAGTCCAAAGAGGAAGTAGAAGACAACAGTAAATCTTGAAATATAGTGCTCGGAGATAGCGAAGAATCCGAATCAAAGTAGCCCAATGGTTAGAGTGAGGAGCAGAGACAAACTGGCTAACCATATGAACAACATAGGCAAGATCAGGACGAGTAACCATCAGATAGACTAAGCAACCCACGAGCTCTCGATGTAACGTGGGATCATCTAGAGGGACACCATCAGTAGAGTTGAGCTTCACATTAAGCTCAATAGGTGTATCAAAAACCTTAGTATCAGTAAGACCGGCACGGTGAATAACCTCATTAGCATACTTGGCTTGAGACAGAAAATAGCCCTTTGGAGAAGAGGCAACCTCAATACCAAGAAAATACCACAATGGACTCAGATCTTTTATTTCGAAGGTGCCGAAGAGATGTTGCTTAACCTCAGAGATAACAGAAGAGTCAGAGCTAGTGATGATCATATCATCCACATAGAGTAGGAGAGCAACGAAACCAGCCAGGTATATCTCAGAAACAAAGTAGAGTTGGAAGCAGAAGGATGAAACCCAAACTCGGTAATGGCAGTCTGAAAGCGATCATACCAAGCACGAGGAGACTGCTTCAAACCATACAGAGCACCCCGAAGATGACAAACCGACCTAGAGAAGTGGAGAAGACTAGGGGGAGGACGCATGTAGACCTCCTCAGTGAGATGACCGTTAAGAAAAGCATTCTTAACGTCCATTTGATAGAGAGGCCGATGTCGAACAGTAGCAATAAAAATCAAGGTACGAACAATAGTCATCTTGGCAACAGGAGCAAA